GTCTTCTTCTCCGCCAATGTCATGAGTAAATCCTCAGGTATTCCCTGATAGATGGCAGCCAAGGCCATGTTATCCTTCTTTGCTTCAACAAGGTTGTTGGGTGTTTTGGGTTCTACAGCATCCCACACACCTTGAGCCAACATGAAGACCCTCATCTTAATTGCCCATGCATTGTAATTGCTTATTGTCAACATCGGGTAGTGCAGAGTGATTTGCCCGTCTTTGTCACCATTTCCATTGCTGCTGCTGCCCGTCATTCCTTCTTTTCGGGGTTGATACTTGGGCATGTACCAGGTTTTTCTATGATACCAAATGTTGGCTTTTCACAAGCCTGTGGCAATGAAACAGTAACAAAGCAAAAACAGAGCACAATACTTAAAGCTGAAAGCTTTTTATTTACTGAATTGAAATAGGGAGGTGATACCCTCAACGTACATACTGCTAAGCTATTTAAACTAAAAAAAAATGCTAAAAAGACTACAACTACCCCTAGTGGCATAAGACCCGGACTCTACAGCCTACATGGGTTTGATTTATTAAAAAACTCAAACACGTGACATAAACTAAATTAATAACAATTTCTGAATTACACTAACAAAGAAGACATTTTAAATTGACATGGGAAAAAAATTCAAACAAACAAAATTTTATGTGCAGTAATATTGCATTGTTATTTCAAACAAAACATAAAACCATATGTAATTCCAGTTAGGTAAATGAAAATATTGTCTTCTACTTATTCCTTGTTTTCCTTTCTTTTTTCTTGGCGAGGGAGATCTTTTAAGAATGAAGCAAAGAGCCGAAGCCAATTTATCTGTGCGTTTTTCCGACATATGCATGTCAATGCCTAGAAAGTTATTAGACCAAGAAAACGCGCGTATACGAAAAATTTATCACACAGAGAGAGAGAGAGAGAGAGAGAGAGAGAGAGAGGAGAGAGCTGACGATGAAGAGAGAGGATGAGATGGAACGATATGGAGAGAGAGGATGAGAAGGTAGAGAGACGAGAGAGAGAGAGAAGCGTAGGATATCCGATTCAAATATGGAAAAGATTGGGTTTCTGATTTCTTGCAATTAGCTTCCTCATTTATTGAAGATTTATTGCCGATTTTATGGGATGCCTCCTAATCAGAAACAAAGAAATCTTAACAGTGAAACAATTGAGTTGCTATCCTCTGATGCGTGTTCTCCAAGCATCCGAGCCTGCATATTTTCATAACTCACATTAATATCCATCGAGTCTTCTATAAGCCCGCGTCCTTTGTTTCAGGTGTTTCCTTTTGTTTTTAACTTTCTTCTACGTTTTTATTAGTTCGTGAAACGCACTGCATTCTTTTTCATTACACATCTTTAACCGGTGATCTAATGCTTCAGGATTGAACTTTGACATTGACATCTTGCAGTGTTGACAGAGCCCCCATATATAACAGAGGTAACATGTAGACTCCCATCTTAAGAATTTATTACCTTGAATTCACGAATCTTGACAAAAAGATATTACACCATTGAGTTTTAACAATGAAACTTTAAATTGTGTACTTTACTGGGTTTTTCTGCTCTTGCCATTGGTGGAGATCTAGTAATGATATGGTCGAAAGCTTTCTATGCTTTTTAACTAAATTGAAAACGTGTTGTAATATTTACCGGGTATAATTGTAAATTTGTAACTTTCTTTTCTTTTCCTTTCGTCTTCTAACTTTTCTTTCCTTTGTTAACCTCGGGAACACATAGTTAGAATCTTGCATCATGATCATATAGGATAAAACAAGGTGTCTGAAAAGGTGTTCCTCTAAGGGTTTGGGCCTTGTTGGGAAAATGGCCTCAATCATCCCTACAAACCTCCCAAAAAGAATAATAGAAAAATAAACTGAACACAAGTATATACGTGGAAACTCCAAAACCGGAGAAAAACCACGGGCCTCCAGAGAGAAAGATCCACTATATGATAAATTGTTACAATCACATAGACTAATCTCTCAAGCCTCCCCCCAAATTACACCCACACTCTTAAAGTTTTAACTAATACTTTCACCACTCTAAAATAAGAGAAAGAAAGAAATAACCAAACACTTATAGTGTATTGTTGGTTGGGGTGCTTTGAAACCAAAGCCTTGGTCCCTATTTATAAGCTTAGAGACCTCCCAAGCTTTCATCCTTCTAGCAATGTGGGATGGGAACATTTTCTTCATATAGCCAAAAAAACCAACAAATCTCCACCTTGGATAAATGAAAGAAAACCGCAACCACATAAAGGAACATCGTTTTCATCTACGATCATAATTCTAAAGGCATAGAATTATCATACTCCACCATAAGAAAGTATCACCACTTAGAATAAACCATCCTAAGAATTTCACCTCGACACATGTTGAAAAACTGCTGAAAAATTTATGGTGCAACTTCCACTTGGCATACCCGGAAGTTCATCAGCCATCAACATAACTTCACCACACATCTTGCATTTATGCTAATCCAATGCCCATGTGCAGTTCCCCCGCTAACAGAAACACATCCCTTTCCATGGTATCACGGGCATACCATAGGGATGACACAACTCAAAAGAATTCATCGCCGTCAGTAGCGACGGAGATACTGTTAGCTGTATCGGAGCCTTTTGTCGAACTCGTTGCTCCACCTGGACAATTTCTCTTGACATGCCCAGACTCTCCACACCTCCAGCATACCGGGATCTTCTGGGAGTGTTTCTTCTTCTCGTTCCTGCATATCATAGCCGTTCCTTCTGACGAAGCATAGTTGCTACTTTCCAGTCGTTTCTCCTCAGACAGGAGTTTACCAGTAACATCCGCATACTTCAGGGTCTCTTTTCCATACATTAAAATAGGCTTCATATGCTCATAGGAAGAAGGTAAAGACAGTATGAGTCTTAAAGCTTTATCCTCATCTTCAGTCTCCACTCCAATAGCCTCCAGTTCTGACACGATGTTATTAAGAACACTTAGATGATCTGAGATTTTTGTATCTCCACTCATACGAAGAGTATGAAATTGCTCCTTGAGATACAACCGATTCGAGATACCTTTGCCTTGATACAACTGCTCAAGTTTCTCCCACAAATCTTTTGCCGTTGCGATCCCATGCACATTTGCAAGAACATTCTTTGCTAGACACAAACGAATAGCACTTGCCGCTCTCAAATCTAGATCTTCCCATTCTTCATCATCGACTTTACTGGCTCCGGCTGAATCCTTGCTAGAAACGGGGACATGTCTCCCCTTCAACGCCTTGTGTAACCCAGACTGAATCAACACATCCTTGACTTGAACTTGCCACAAACCAAAGTTGATTCTTCCGTCAAATTTTTCTACATCAAACTTCATGGGACTGAATTTTGCCATCGTATCTGTATCTCAAAAACAGTATTGTATACTAGAAAAATATGCACCCGACCTATACACAATACACCTAATAAAGGATTCCCAGATTAGAGTGGAGGGTTACAACGGACACGCTTAAATACCAATCTTTCTTAGACAGAACCTTCTTCGGATATATACGTATTTACAGCCCGCATATAACTCTATCGTACACAAAACGGTTAGTCTAATCCTCGTTTCTGATGTGGAAGATCAGACAAAGCTGCAGCCACAAAGCATACTCCGAACCTTCAAAGTACCGAGACAACTCCAATACGATTAATAGAAATTTGTTTCTGATGTGAAAGATCAGCCAAAGCTGCAAGCACAGAGCATACTCCAATTTCTAAAACCGAGACCTCCTCCAAAACCCGAAGCTCTGATACCATTTGTTGGGAAAATGGCCTCAATAATCCCTACAAACCTCCTAAAAAGAATAATAGAAAAATAAACTGAACACAAGTATATACGTGGAAACTCCAAAACCGGAGAAAACCACGGGCCTCCAGAGAGAAAGATCCACTATATGATAAATTGTTACAATCACATAGACTAATCTCTCAAGCCTCCCCCCAAATTACACCCACACTCTCAAAGTTTTAACTAATACTTTCACCACTCTAAAATAAGAGAAAGAAAGAAATAGCCAAACACTTATAGTGTATTGTTGGTTGGGGTGCTTTGAAACCAAAGCCTTGGTCCTTATTTATAAGCTTGGAGACCTCCCAAGCTTTCATCCTTCTAGCAATGTGGGATGGGAACATTTTCTTCATATAGCCAAAAAAACCAACAGGTTTGGGGGTTTAAACCTTGTTGGCAAACATAATAGTTTAGGAGTAGAATTAGGGGTGTTAATGGGGTGGTTTGATTCGGTTTTTTTGCCAAAACCAAACCATAACGATTATAAGTGGTTAATGCATTTTAGTAACCATTAGGTATTGGTTAACGGTTTTTCTCGGTTAATACTTATGGTTAATAGTTAATATTGGTTAACCATAATGGTAGAAAATAGATAAAAATAAAAAAATACTTTTCTATAAAAAGTGAAAAACATATAGTACATTGTTATAAAAAACGAATGATTCAGTGTTTATAACTATATTAATGTGATTATAAGATTAGGTATCCCATTTGATTCCAAATAATTACCTGTGAAATTTTCTAAATTCCTAATATAATTACATAAAAATATATTTAATATTATACTATGTTAAAAAAATTTAATAATATTATTGGTTTGGTTCGGTTTTTAATGGTTCGATTTTGCCGTTTTGGATGAAAACCCATAACCGAACCATGTGTATTTGGTTAATCAAAAATAGTACTGCACCACCTTTTTTAGTAATGGTTCGGTTAAAATTATTCGGTTATTTCGGTTAATTTCGTTTTGGTTCGGTTTTTCGGATAATATGTTCACCCCTAAGTAGAATTTAGAGGGTGTTTTTATTAGCCGTCCAAAAAAAAAGTTTAAAGTAATTAACTTTCACAAAATGCTACATATTCCTAATGGCTACTATGAATGCTATGAAATTAGACAAACGTGAGCAGGCATAGTAAACTCATTGCCCTCTTTCATGAGCATTAATTATTGCCTTATTGCTTGTTTCTGTTTGAACCTATAAAGTAATGGGGAGTTGGGAAGATGGAGCACCAGCAATAGGCATCGATTTGGGTACAACAAACTCCTGTGTTGCTGTGTGGAAACATGATCGAATTGAGATTATACCCAATGACCAAGGCAACCGAACAACACCATCTTGTGTTGCTTTTACTGATTCTCAACGTCTCATTGGTGATGGTGCCAAGAATCAAATTGCAAGGAACCCTGCTAATACTATATTCAGTCGGTTTCAACTTTCTCTATATGATTTAATACTAATTATATGTTTTTTCACACGCTTTTATTGCATGGCTGATATGGTTAAGTTATGGAATTTTAGATGCAAAGAGGTTGATCGGCAGGAGGTTCAGTGAAGTCATGGTCCAGGAAGACATAAAGCTAATGCCATTTAGGGTCATTCAAGGGCCTAGCGACATGCCAAAAGTTGCTGTTACGCACAAGGGTCATGAACAACAATTTTCTATGGAGGAAATTTCATCAATGGTTCTAGCTAAGATGAAGGAGATTGCAGAGGCATATATCGGTAGCTCAGTGAAAAATGCTGTCATCACTGTCCCTGCTTATTTCAATGATTGTCAGCGTCAAGCAACAAAGGATGCTGCTACTATTGCTGGCCTAAATGTGGTACGCATGATCAATGAGCCAACTGCAGCTGCAATTGCTTATGGTGTAGACAATAGGTTTGATGGAAAGAAGAATGTACTTATCTTTGATCTTGGTGGTGGTACTTTTGATGTCTCTCTTCTCACCATTGATGGAGAGGGTAAGTTTGAGGTGAAGGCTGTTGCTGGTGACACTCATTTGGGAGGTGAGGATTTTGACAACCGAATGGTAAATTATTGTGTTGAAGATTTTAAGAACAAATGGAATAAGGATTTGAGAGGAAATCAAAGAGCACTAGGAAGGTTGAAAGTTGCTTGTGAGAAAGCAAAGAGAATTCTTTCATATGATACTCAAGTTTCAATTGAACTAGAAGTGCTGCTGGATGGTATTGACTTTTCTTTGAAGATTACTCGTGCCAAATTTGAGGAGCTTAATAAGAGTTTCTTTGAAGATTGTATCAAGCAACTTGAGACATGTTTAGTAGATGCTAATATGTACAAAGGAGATGTAGATGAGGTGATTCTTGTTGGTGGATCAACTAGGATACAAAAGGTCCAATCTATGTTACAAGAGTTCTTTGATGGGAAGGAGCTATGTAAGAACATAAACCCTGATGAAGCTGTAGCTTATGGGGCAGCAGTTATGGCTGCCAACTTATGTGGTCAGACTACAAAGATGATAAAGGAATTGGTGCTATTTGATGTCACTCCCTTGTTGTTAGGATCGAGACACTTAACACACGACTCTAAACACACCACAGCTCACGAAAAACAAGAACACAAGGATGAACACGAGGGATTTAACGTGGTTCGGTCCTTCTCTGACCTACGTCCACCGGTAACTAGGAGTTTATATTTCTTGGTGCTAATCTGCACTCACTCTTTGTTGCTTATTTTTACAATACAGATGAGACTCATATATAGAGTCTGAAGTAAACAATTGAACAAGAAAAGCAGCCATGAAACATGTATCCGGGAAATATGGATCACCTCTCCTTTTCCACCTTTTTGACTTGCTTTTCTTCCATGTTTTCTGCCATGTTTTCTGCCTTTTGACCAGCCCAATGGCTTTACACTCAACACTTGTCACTTGGTACAGAGATAGTAGGGGAAAGAATGAAAGTTGTGATCCCAAGGAACACTCCCATACCTACCAAGAAGACCATGACTTTTACTACTGATAAAAACAACCAAACTTGTATGGCTGTCATGGTGTACCAAGGTGAACAGACTAGATCTAGGGATAACTTCTTGTTGGGATTGTTTACAATATCAGGAATTCCACCTGCTCCTAAAAGAGCCTCAGTAGTAGAGGATTGCTTTGAAATAGATGCTAATGGTATCCTTACAGTTACATCTAAGGTTGTATCCACTGGTAAGACCAAAAGCCTTACTGTTACCAATCTGAGTGGAAGATTGTCAAAGCATGAGATAGAGAAAATGGTGAAAGATGCTGAGAAGTTCAAGCTAGAGGACCAAGAGTTCAAGAGGAAAGCTGAAGCATACAATGCCTTGGAGGATTACATATATGACTTGGAGAATAAGATTAAAAGAAAAGATTTGCCCCCAAAGGACTTGAATAGCCTACGTGATGCAATTTCTGATACAAAGGAATGGCTTTCTACTGGTAACGTTGCAGATGTTAATGAAATTGAGCGTAAGAAGGGGATCCTGGAGTTCATATCCCTGCTTGCATTTTCTAACTAATATCATACAAGACTTAATGTGTTGAGCACTAGACAACTATATATGGCTATTTTCATTTGACTTATTTGTTTTTTTAATGCAAGGTTTAAAACTTTAAATGGTCATTTAATTTTATTTGGACGGTTTATTCAATCTAGAAAAGAAACAAATCTTATGTATACCTGACTTCACATCATTATCTTTTCAGCCACTTTATTACCACTACTCGTCTTGATGGGGTTGTTAAAAAAAGGCCCCATACTTGGATGTGCTGAATTTTGGGATCAGAAGTCTGTTATGTAGTGGAGCGGATGTTTTTCCACTTGTTGCATTTTAGTTAAAACCCAAAGGAAGTAAACTGGATGATCTCATGAAAAGATTTAAAAACAGAATGCTCAAACAAAGCTTTTAAACTGGTTGCTAAGCTTTCCCACAATCAATTCCCTTGAATTAAACTGAAGTTAGTATTAACTATATATTAACCTAGTCTGAGACAAATTTAAAAGTCCATATTACGAGGCCTACAATTAAATATGGTTTTGTTGAAGTGCATTACTGGTTACAAAAATGTCCTACAATGAGTTAATTGGTAATGACAAAGTGAAATAAGTGCTCGTAATTTGTGCTTAGCAGCTATAAATACACAGTAAAGACTTAAAGATACCGTGGAAGGAAATGTAAAACTTGAGAGAAATGCTCAAGTATTACTCTACTAAATATTGGAAGACTGTTACAACTTGGATTATTTACAAAGAGGGAAGAACCACACTTTAAATAGCTTTAGCTTTCTAATATAAAAATGCTAAAGTACACTACACCTAAGCATATGATCATTATTTAAGTACAAAATATCTACACAAGCGGGAAATATGGAAGATTTGTTGGATGTCAAATTGTCAATCATCAAGATAATGACATTATTTTAATAAAAAGAGAAAATTTTATTTATTATGTCCTTAAATATTACTTCAATATCCTTATAAACTTAAAATTATGTGTATATCCATCCAAAACTATAAAAATTATTTTTCAAATTACACGTGTATCACCTAAATGGATTGAAGACCTGTTCTTCATTACTCCAATATCTATTACATTCTACCTCATCTTCGTTTGGGTACTTTAAGCAACTTTCTATCTTTGAAGGAAACATGAGTTTGAACACCTTTTCATAAACTTATTTTCGTTCAGCACTTTAATTTTAAACAACTTTCTATCATCGATTTGCAAGACCATAACTCATTCATTTTTTTTTCCAAACGAAGTGAGGTTTTTTTCTTGATATTAGAATTTTGAGTTAGCTTTCTTACCCATTTGATCTCACTGTAAAATTCAATGATTTCTACTTCAAAAAAGAGGTTAGAAGACAGGTACATCAGTAGCCATGGCTGTTGTGATAGTTGGTCTTGTAAAATTGTTTTGAGGGAGTTAGACTTCTCCAAAAATCATGAAATTTTTTCAAAAATCTATTAACACAATATATAAGAGTGGTTTAAATCTCTTGATCAGAAAAGGTTTTTAACATATTTAAAAGTAGTCTCAAAATGGGTGCAATTTCAAGACAGCAACGTTTTAAAAAACTGTTTTGGGAAACCTTGAGCAAAGTTCATATTTAGAAATATTTCTAGAAACTTGTTTTAAGTTTTACCCAAAAAGTTTTGAGAGACACGATTACCTGCTCTGAGTAAGAAGATGTGAATTGATTGATGGAGACGAGATACATATGAAGAAGAGGATATACATACATTGAAGGTGTCGTAACTGATTGAAGGGATATAATGACCCAATTTTTTTATAAAATATAACAAAGTAAAGTGAATCGTTACCCTTTTAAAAATATAATTGAAGTTTTCAAAAACAAACATCCAACCATACTTATAAAATAATACTTCGAAAGAAACATTAGTGTAAGCAAAAACATCCCAGGTTCAAAAACATAACATTCATTTTTATAAAAGTCTTCAAGAGAATGTCGCATGCAGTCACACTGATCTCTTTCCCTTATTAGTACCCGACGTTCCGGAAAAATGTCAAATAACAATGGGTAAGCATAACGCTTAGTGAGCATACACATTACTCTACCATTATATAGATTAACAAAACACATAACATAATCATAAACATTCCTAGCATATACTGTTGATACCAACCATAACCTTGTTTGCCCTTCCGGGAACTACCCCCCCCCCCCCCCACTCCATAATAGGGAATAAGAGATAAAAGTGTAGCTTGCCTCACTAGAAGACCAACCACTGCACATTTTGCCTTACCTTGTTCACTCTACTGGATTAGGGTATCAGTGAACAAATACATGAAGCAACTAATGCCTACATAATATGAGAGTTAGTGTAACTCACCTCCTTGCACTTGAGACTTAACTAACACGAGCTTGATGGATCCTATACCGGTCCCTTCCAAGAACCTACACAATCATTCAAATATTATTTTGTTTGTGCTTTGATGTACTATTCAAATAAAATTCATGTACATATTCCTTTATATTCTCTTTGATTTTTATATTCTGTTCGGGACCTTTTGTTACCTTTCCACCCATTATTAAAATTTTGATAAATTATGTTATGAAATATGTGACAACATAGACTAGTCGGAGAAGATTGACCATTCTACCCCTCAAGGAGTTGATATATGGAAAAGTGATTCAAAGTTTGAAGAAACTAGCACTACTATAAAAATACCCTTTAATGACACGCATGACGTGTCATAAAAAGGTATAGATGACACACAAATGTGTGTGAAAGGAAGGCCATGTCATAAAGGAAGACGACACGCATTTGCGTGTCGTAACCTTACGACATGCAATGCGTATCATTAAAGCCCCTGTCAAGGAAGGTCATGTCATAAATGAAGATGACACATATTTTTGCCTATCGTAATTTTAAATGTTTTAAAAAATATTATTTATAGATTTACTAATTTTCAAATTAAATTTGTATTTAATGTCTCATAATATAAATAAAATATCATATACAAAAAATACAATCCATTGCATAAAATTCAATGTCATACAAATAATCGTTCCAATAGTAGGCAAATATAATACATCAAATGTGAAAGAGATGAAATTCATCAACAAATAATAGTTGAACTACAAGAACTTGTTGACCACCTTCACAATATCCTATCTGTAACATCGTGATTTTTCACCCAATTTTTTTTATATTTAAAACATTTATTTAACAGAATACGTTGCAGAAGACTTATTATGATAATTTCAAAAACATCACAAATGTTACTTTCATGTCAAAACAAATTCATCAAAATTTAAAGTTCACAAAAACATAATCATGAAAATCCAACATGTCCAAATGGTATCATAACTAGAGATACTAAATAAACTACCCCATGGTTCCCATCCTCACCAAGACATCATGTCAAACTACCTGTTCTAATACATAAAACCAACAAGTAAAGAACAAGTGTTAGCATAAGCTAAGTGAGTCAATATAGTACAGTGTCAAGAGAACACACATATCATAGATGGATTCACAACAAACATCCACACATAGCCAAAGACTCACAAGCAAGACATTTCACACCACATAACAAACACATGTTTAGCTCAATTTATTTTAGTTATTCATTTAGAACTTCTTTTATTAGTTACTCTCCTCAACACCGCTGTAACTAATTTTATTTTATCGATTCACCCCTTAAATATTAATATAATATTTTTTTCTCTGCTTTACATTAATAACTACCTACCGCTCACCACCGTTGTAATTATTAAAGTAATACCACCTAGTTAGGGTCTATTTATTCACCGCAAAAACCCCGAAGCAAAACCCCGTTCGCTACTAATGTGACCGACACGACCCAATGCACAAAGTGAGGCGCGACTCTCACCCGTAATCATTGCTCCCGATGCGTTGCGTTCCCTACTCCACTGTGCACATACGTATACATGCGTTGTCGTTAAGGATTGGTACGAACGGTGCCAATTCGAACAATATACACCTCCCAAATCCCATGTGATGTTTGCGCTGGTCCTACCGCTTGACCAACATCACTCCAGTCCCGGTATACCTAGGTGCACCAGGACCATGTCCCTAGTGGTTGTATAGAAAAACCAGTCGTCGTCAAAGTTGGCTTAAGCTCTTTATCCTATAGGTATCTTTCAACCCACTAGGCCATCATAATATCCGGATTGGGTATATACCTATGACTAGGTTACTACCCTTCGTCTCGCTAGTGTGTTCCCCTTTTATATTTAATAATGATTAATTAAATAAGGAGTTGCACTTTTACCCTTTCAAGTAATCATGTAAATATTATTAATTTTCTTTTGTTAACATGTTACCTCTTTAAGGGTTATTTTCATGCAAACATGTAATTTTATGAAGTTACTACATTTTACATCACACACTACTTCCATTCACAACACATCAAAAGTGATTATATAACTCTAGCATGCTTGTCCTAAAACATCTTAAACAAATATTTCGAAACAAGTATTAACATGCTCACACCACATAGTGTTCATACACATCACTCAAACAAGCATGATCCTAGATCACATCTCACATCAACCAAAGAGGAATCTAGCATGCAACATGCTAGATACAGTTACACATGAAACATTTCAACAATAATGGCATTACAATCAATCAAGAAAAGGGGAACATGCATCCTAGATAACTAGGTTCATTCCAATCCATCTAAGATATGAGATACTCCTAACAATGTACTTTTAAAACCACAAAGTTGACTCACCTTTGCCAAAGATGTGACCAACTCACACTTCAAGTCTTATAAAGATTGAAGTATCATCCTTGCCCCTATTAAAATTCAAATAAAAAAGTTATTGGAGATCTACAATGCCAAAGATGACAAATTCATAACCCAAACACATAAATCAACTAACAAGCAAAATTCCTTGGACCCAAAACAACCACCTGTTTAGATCTATTTTAGCACACTTGGGACCTATATAACTTCTGTTTTTATTTCATATTCCAGAAGTTCAAAATTTTATCTTTTCATAAAGTAATTTTGAAGGTCCA